GTGACTATGAATTATAAACTTTCACTTCTGCATCCTGAATGTATTCTTCCATGTATACAACCCAACATATTACTGGAAACTCGGCTAAAGAAAGGACTATGGATGTTCCATTTGGTGTGACTGACTCTCTCTTTGAGTGCTTCCATTTCTCAGCATGAAGTGGCTCCAAGCAGAGGGCTTCAACTTTTCACTCTAGACTTAAACAAGCTATAAGTAAATTAATCATACTGCTTAAAATTGATGACTAGTTGTTAACACCATTCCTTATTTTCACCACTAACTTTATTTTTTCTCATTTGACAAATTATTTTATTACTTTCCAGCCAGTGAGTTTGTATGCATGATCTTATTTTCCTCTTTTTCTTAGAATTCTGATCCCTTGAGAGAATAATAGTTGTGTTGTTGTTGTTTGGCATTGTATATATTTTCTCTTTGGATATGTGGCTAAGGTAGGTAAAGACAAAACATAAAATAAGAGTAAAAGAGACACATAGAGTAGATAAGGAGAAGAGCTGGACATAAAAAGAATACTGGAGGCACAGATAAAAAGATTTGGAACAAATACCAAAAAAATGATTTACTATATCCACTTAGTATAGGTTGTTAATTTGTCAGGCTATTCAAAATATGCCCTTATGTGTTTCACAACTTTAGAAACTAAATTGCAAATTCATCTTACTTTGTTGTTGTTAAGTGTCGTCGAGTCAATTCCCACCCATAGCGACCCTGTAGAGGGTTTCCAAGGAGCAGCTGGTGAGCTTGAACCACGAACCTTGCAGTTCAAACGACTTTACTGTCTGACGCATTAGCCCACAGTGCCACACCAGGACTCTTACATAGTATCCTCAAATATTTCACACTTAACACAGATGGGGCTTAAAAAGCTGAAGCCAATACAGGGGAAATTTCCCCAAGCCACTTAAAGGGTCATATTTCATCATAAGAGACACAAAAAAGGGAGAACACAATGATCCGCTTTAGGAAAATACCCAAGCCATGGTATTTTCAATAACCTCATATGGATGCAAAAGCTGGACAGTGAATAAGGAGGATCGTAGAAGAATTGATGCCTTTGAGTTGTGGTGTTGGAGGAGAATACTGAAAGTGCCATGGACTGCCAAAAGAACCAATAGATCTGTTTTGGAAGAAATGCAACAGAGTGCTCCTTAGAGGCCAAGATGGCTAGGCTTCGTCTCTCATACTTTGGACACATTGTCAGGAGAGAACAGTCGCTGGAGAAGGATGTCATGCTGGGTAAGGTGGAGGGTCAGAGAAAAAGAGGAAGACCCCCAGCCAGGTGGCATCATTGATGACGTCAAGTGTGGCGGCAGTAGTGAGGTTGGCCCAGGCTCGGGCATTGTTTAGTTCTGCTGTGCATGGGGTCGCTATGAGTCGGTTCCAACTCGATGGAACCTGACAACAAATATTAATTGGTGGTGGCTGTGTGATGTGTAGTTGATTCCGACTCATAGCGACCCTGTACAGGGTTTCCGAGGCTGTAAATCTTTATGGGAGCAGAACGCCTTATCTTTCTCCTACGGAACAGCTGGTAGTTTCGAGCTGCTGACCTTGCGGTTCGCAGTCTGATTCGATTTGTAACCACTACGCTACCAGAGCTCCTAATGTAAATATTAATTAGCTAGGCTGTTTTACATTTCTGATACATAGATAATAACTAATTTGTAAATACATATGCATTATATGTTTTATCTTGTAGCACTGAATATTTAACACATATTCCAGATGGTACTTAATCAGCTTAAGTAACTGGGAGACGGGCTAGAAATAGGAGGGGAAGTTGGGAAAATCTTCCAATTTTATCAAAGCTTCAGTTCTCCGGCAGAGAAAAGGATGTAAAGAAACAAAATATCAGGGTTGTATTTAAGAAAACATATTCAGTTCATTGACACAATGAATTAATTTGCTAAGCTTCCTAAAAGCCCACAAGTAATTTTATATCCATAGAAACCATCTAGGTTGTAAGTATCTATGAATATGCAAAATTGGCTTTCCATTGTCCCTTTGACTATTTCACACTAGACTGGGGCAGTCTTTCAGAACAGAAAAAAATTTCCCAATGTACTTAAAGGTTACAGTTCTCACTAAGGAGAATTCCCATTGCTTCTTTGAAAAAGAGAATGCATAGAAAAAGAAAGGAAGGAAAGAAAAGAAGAGAACAGAATAAAACATATTATTTATTTTTAAAAAATGGTTAATTTGCTAAGCTTTTGAAAATCCACTTGCTTTCATCTCAGACCCACAGAATATAGCTAATTTATGAATACATATTTATCATGTTTTATATAGTGAATATTTCACATGATCATAGGTAGCATTAATATAGTGGGTTTCAGGAGTGTAAGATAGATGAGAAAGGGAGTAAATTGTTCAAACTAATTAAAGTCCAACTCTCATTAAAAATAAATCTTCAGTTCCTTTTGAGTGGGAAGAGAGAGTGAGGACAAGGAAAAAGGGCAAAAGAAATAGGCCTGGATACACAAAGAAGAGAGAGATAGAGAAGGAACACAGGAAGAAAGAGATTGGAAAAGGAGCAGAGATAAAGAAAAGATCAAAGCTCCAAAGTTGTAATGAGGAAAATATGCCATACTTTTGTGTGATATCCTTTGCTAAAGTAAAAATAAGTCTACTTAGATTTTTCATGATCATGTTAAGAAGCTGGGATGTGAATGCACACACAGTATGGATTGTATATTGAGTTTGGATGACCAGATAATATTTCCTGGGCTAAGATACAAGGGAGTGGGAAGGGTAAGAAAGAGGGAAATCGCTTTATTTGTGAGCCCTGCCAAAACCAAATGTGGGTGGAGTGGGAGAGATGAAGAGTAAGAATCTCTGACAAGAGAGATAATAGACCAGTCCAATTATATGGGGCTTTGTGGACTATTTGGGGGATTTGGGGTTGTACTCTTTGAGAGATGGGAAACCAGTGTAGGGTCTTGAGCAGAGGAGACACAGGATCTGACATGTTTTAGTAGTATCTCTGGCTGCTGTACTAAGAATGCATTGAAGAGTGGCAAAGACAGAAGAAAGAAGGTCTGTTAGAAATCATTAAGAGTACTCTAGGTAAGAGGTAATAGTGGCTGATCAAATTGTAGATATATGTTGCAGAAAGAACTAGCAGAGTTTGCTCGTGTGTGTGTGTGTGTGTGTGTATGTGTGTGTGTGTGTAAGAGAGAGAGAGAGAGAGAGCAATAACAATGCTAAGGTATTGGAAGATTTGGGCCTAGCCTCACTTGAGTGCTACCATTTTACTGAATGAGCAAGTCTATAGAAATAACTATTTGTAGGGTGATAAGAAAAGGAGCTCTGGTAGCGTAGTGGTTACAAATTGGGCTGTGAACCTCAAGATCAGCAGTTCGAAATTACCAGCTGTTTCGCTGGAGAAAGATGAAGCATTCTGCTCCCGTAAAAGATTTACAGCCTCAGAAACCCTGTACAGGGTCTCTATGAGTTGGAACCAACTCCACGGCACATAACAAAAACAGCAACAACACCAAGACAGGCAGAGCAAAAACTCAGATGTTACATCAAGATGTCTATTAAATCTCTAAGTGGTGATACCTAGTTGTTGTTGTTGTTATGTGCCGTCGAGTTGGTTCCGACCCATAGGTAGATGAATATATGAGTCTAGAGTTGAGTAGAGAACCCAGGCAGATGAAATACATTTGGTAGTCATCAGAGTTTAAGATATTATTTAAAGACACAGGCTGGGCAAGAATACCAAGAAATTGAGTAGGACATAAATGAGAAGAGATACAAGAATTAAACTCAACGGCCCTCCAATGTTTATAAATGAAATGAAACCAGGAAGGAGTAGTCAGTGAGGTAGGAGGAAAGCTAACAGAGAACACTGTCCTAGAAGCCCAGTGAAGAGTGATTACAGAGGGAGGGAGCACACAGCTGCATGATACACTGCTGATGCTAACACATTCCATAAGATGGACCACCATTGGATGGAGCAACGCTGGATAAGAATTAATACCTACCTCATAGGACCATTGAGAGGATCTATGTTAATACTCCAAGAAGACTTTTAAGATTGTCTAGCAAATTGTAAAAGTGCGATAAGTGTTTTCTCTTATTTTGGGAGAAATGTGATGTACTTCAGTCCACATTCTGCTATGCAAACTTTTGGCTTAACCATATAAATTTAATGAAATAGCAGACCATGCCCACTTACTGCCATCAAGTCATTTCCAGAGACCCTGTATAGGTTTTCTGAGGCTGTAGATCTATATAGGAACAGATAGCCTCATCTGTCTCCCATTGAGCAGCTGCTGAATTTGAGCTGATGACCTTGCAGTTAACTGTTCAGTGTTTACTCTACAGCACCACCAGGCATAATAACCAATTACATGCTAAGGAGCTAACCTAATTAGGCTTGAATTCTAGCTACACTATTTACTAGCTTGAGATCTGGTGTGGTGTTGTAGAATAAACACTGGACTGGTAATCTTAAGGTCGGCAGTTCAGACCCACCAGATGGTCTTTGAAACCATACACAGGGTAGCTATAAATTGGAATCAACTCTATGGCACACAACAACAACACTTACTAGCTTGGTGACCTTGTACAAGTTACTCAGTCTCATTTTGCTTCAGTTGCTTGACCTATGAAGTGAAGATAGAAGTACTGACCTCATAAGGTTGTTGTGAAGCTTAGATATATTAAGAATAAAAAGTACTAAATGAACAAGTACTATAGAAGAGATTGTTATTTCTAACAATTTAGTGAGAACATTAATTTTGTTGAATGTATTTGTGTTAAAATTTTTCTGAACAAGCTGTGTGAGTACACTATTAGTATTCATTTTCACCAAAAAACACACTGCTTCATGATTGTTAAAGAAACTTTAGAATTTGGAGACACTTGTTTTGAATATAAAGTTGAGGAGTTTTTTTTAATGAAACTGGAGCCCAACTTGATCTAACAATAGTTCATTAGGCTACATTGCACTTAATTTTACTCTTTCTCTCCAGGAGAATATGTCGTCATGACAACCCACTTCCATCTCAAGCGAAAAATTGGTTACTTTGTGATCCAGACTTACCTGCCATGTATCATGACTGTCATTCTGTCACAGGTGTCTTTTTGGCTCAACAGAGAGTCTGTCCCTGCTCGCACAGTCTTTGGTGAGTATTGGATTATGGAGAATGGGGAAGGGACATTTACAAAGCCTGAGATCTGGTGTGGTGTTGTAGAATAAGCACTGAACTGGTAATCTTAAGGTCAGCAGCCAGGATAGAGGTGAGGGAAGCGGAAGAACCATTCTGGAGATAATGGGAGCATAAATCAGTCATCAATCCTGGACTCTAAGGTGAGTGGATTCTTAATGAGGAAGTGGAAACAAGAAGAGTGTTGGAGTAGAAATCTTACTTAAATACTTCCTGTCTCAGTCAGGTTTGCCCCAATACCTGGGGAGGGACTTGACCCTTCATTGAGAAAGAGGGGAGATTAGTAGGCAGAGCAGGAGAAGGTAAAAGGTGAGGAACTCAATTGGAAACCAAAAAGTGGATGCACCCATTTGGGGTACGAGCTTCTAAATTTGCTGCTACTCCTATAGTCTTTTTAGAAGTATGAATGATGTGATATTTAGCAGAGGCTAATGCTTTGGACTGCAAAGTAATTTGAACTGCAAGATTGGTGGTTCAAGCTCACCAGCTGCTCCTTGGAAACCCTATACAGGATCGCTATGGGTTGGAACCAACTCAACAGCACTTGACAACAATTACAATGCAAAGTTTGAAGAGTTTTTCAGTAGTCCTTACATCAGAAGATTTTTATTCAATATGAGTTTTCTGATGTCTAGAAAGAGACTTGACTATCATTAGCACTTTTCCTCCAGTTACTTAAAGCATGCAAACTATTTTCTTCCTGTTCATCTCACTGTATGATTTTTTTTTTTTTTTGGAGATAAGTATTAATGAACTCTTTTATAACACCAAACTAGGACATATACTTAGATGTACTGTGTTCCCACACAGAAGGCATTCCTACCAATACCCTAAAACTTCACTGTGTAGTAAAGTAGTCAATGCTGTTTCAGTAAGAAGCAGTATTCCAGATCAGACAGAGGAATAATCACTGATGGTAAAAGAGAAAAGATGATCTGTAAAGTAGAAGAAAGTGTCTCAAGAGGCAGGAAATACTCATCTGGGTTGGAGTTTACTGAGGTTAGTAAGATGCAGACAAAAACTGACTATTGAGTATGGTGATAGGCTTGGTTGACAATATTGAAAGGTTCTAGTGAAATGGAGGGAGCACAAACTATATTCAAATGGGTTAAAGATGTATGTGTTTGAAAATATAGCAAATGGTATGTGTGTGCTGTCGAGTAGATTCCGAATCATAGAGACTCTGTATAGGGTTTCTGAAGTGCAAATACTTACAAATGCAGAAAGTCTCATCTTTCTCCTGCAGAATGCATGGTGGACTCAACTGGTGTCTTTGTGGTTAGCAGCCCAACATGCAACCCACTACACCACAAAAGACACAGCAAATTTGTTAAGTGACATCGAGTTGGTTCTGACTCATAGTGACCCTTGATAGGATTTCCAAGGAGCAATTTGTGGGTTTGAACCACCAACCTTGTGGCTAGCACAAGGGTCCAGTGTTTATCTTACAGAACTTCATAGCAAACTAGGTATCCTAATTTTTTTTTCCTCAATAAAATTTTGGAAAAATTGGGTCAAACAGAAAACATTCTTTTAACATCTGATCTCATGATGATTTGAAATAAATATTCAGGGACTCAAATGGAATGAGAAAATGGATTTCAAGGTTACACAATGAAAGTATTAGCTTAAGTCAAGTCAAGAGTTTGAACTAGGACTATGGTAGGCTGAGTAATGGCCCCCTAAGATATTTAGCTCCTAAACTCCAGAACTTGTGAATGCTAGCTTATAATGCAAAAGAGACTTAACAGATGTGATTAAGACTCTTGATATTGGGAAATGATCCTAGATTATCCAGGTCCCTAAATACAATCACAAGTGTCCTTATAAAAATTGACTACAGAAAAAAAAGACAGTGTGACAGAAGTGGGAGAGATTTGAAGATGCTACATTGCTGGATTTAAAGATGGAATAAGGGGCCATGAGTCATGAAATGCTCGGCATACAGCTTTGGAACCAGGGAAAGGACCTTCCTGAAGGAACACAGCCTTGCTGACACTTCGGCTTTTAGTTTAGTGAAATTCATTTCAGACTTCTGGAATGAGCTTGTTATAGTTACACAACTATGAGAGAATAAATTTGTGCTGTTTTTAAGTCAATAAGTTGGTGAAAATTTGTTACATAAGCCACGAAACTCTAATCCAATGACCTTTCCAACAAACGCAATACCACTGCAGAGTTACACCTTCATTGCAAAGGAGCACTAGGAAAACATCGATGCAGGGAAACAAAAGGAACATGTTTATTTTGGACAAATCTGTGTGAGACATATAATTCTTTATAATTTTTTTTAATTCAAGCACGGGATCATGTGAGTTTACACTAACTACATGGTGTGAGAAACTCCAAGCTAAAATGTTAATGCAATAAATAATTGCCGATTTTTTAATGTAAGAACAAAGGGACAAGAGTAGCCAGTATACTCCTAAAAAAAAGAAGAAAAAAATGGAGGGATTTGTCCAACAAGATGTTCAAGAATTGTTAGGAATCTATGGTAATTAAGACAATGTGGTATTGGCAAAAGGATGGAAAGAATAAATGAATGGAGCACTATCGAGAACTTAAAAGTAGACCCATATATATGAAGATTTGATTTATGACAGAGCTGGAATTACAGATAATTAATTTCAGATTGATCATGGACATATATATATAAATTATAAAGCTCTTAAAGAAACTATAACACAATATAAGTATACTTTTTTGCAGGTAAAAATATCTTAGTGCACACACGCAAAAAATAGTAACAGTAAAGAAAAAGATTTACTAAATTAAACATCATCAAAATTTTAAAACCTCTACTCTTCAAAGGATAGCATTAAAATTAAAAGGCAAGCCATAGACTAAAAGAAATTATTCTTTATACTAGGGACCTTCAAAAAGTTCATGAGAAAATGCCATTAAATTTAAATGCCATTTTCCCACAAACTTTTAAGTTCATGGAAATATTCTTGGGGTCACCATGGTGTCCACAAAGATATGTTTCTACACCTTATTTATGTAAGTTGGGACTGGGATCTTAAAAGCTCATGAGCACCTATCTGAGGCACAACTATTGGTCTCTTCCTTTGTGGAGGAAAGAGAGCAATGAAAATTGAACAAGCTTGGAAACAATTAGTCCTGTAGAATGAATGAACACATGAACATCAGTACCCACAACATTGAGACCAGAAGAACTCTATAGTGGTTTATTTTATTTTATTTTTTTATTCCAATTTTCTTGAAGGACACAGGAAGACCATGGGGGCTTACTAGGAAGAGCTTTGAAGAAAATGGAACACTGCACTGATGGAAAAAAAGTCAAGAAAGCGGTGCTGCAGATTTTCCCCCCATCACAACAATGTACCTACTCATTCTTTGAGGGTAGCGAAGGCTGTCCTACAAGAATTTCATTTAGAAACTTAAACTCATCCACTTTACAGCTCTGATCTTACCCCTTTAGACATCTTTGGGTTTCAAAGCTTAAAGAACATTGAAAAGGAACACAATTTAAGTCCTTCAAGGATGCCAAAGCTGCTGTTTGGATATGGTATAAATCCTACTGCTCAGAATTCTTGAAAAGGTTAGAGAGATGGAAATACTGCCTTCAGAAGTATACAGACCTAGATGGATGATATGTCAAAAAGCAAAGTTTCACATTTTGATTTTTTTTGTTGTTTAATAAAGGTTTCTCTGATTTTTGTAGTGATATGTTTAGACTCACCATTGTGTGTGTGTCTGTGTGTAGAGAGAGAGAAAATATGGAGGGAGAGGATAGAGAGATGGAGGGAATGGAAAAAAGAACATAAATGAAAATTCTAGAACGGGGAAATGCAGATAAATATTCAGTGGTTTAGACACAGCTGAAGGGAAATTTGTGAACTGGAGACTAGAAGATAAGTCCAAAGAAAATATTTACAATGAGGCACAATGGTGGTAGTGGTTATGTGCGGTGGAGTTGGTTCTGACTCATAGCAGCCATGTATAAGGTTTCTGAGGCTGTAAATCTTTATGGGAGCAGAAAGCTTCATCTTTCTCCTACAGGACTGCTGGTAGTTTTGAACTGCTGACCTTAAGGTTAGAAGCACAACTCATAACCCTAGGCTACAAGAGTTCCTGAGGGATAGAAATGAGGCATTGTTGTTGTTGTTGTTAAGTGCCGTCGAGTCGGTTCCGACCCATAGCGACCCTGTACAGGGTTTCCGAGGGTGTAAATC